GTAGTGTAGATTCTAAATTGTTCAAATCATGACCCCCGGGGATAGGGCGGGGCCACAATAGGTATTACAAGGGGGAAATCTGGTAAAGAACAGCATGGCCAAAGTTACTCAGGTGAGCGATGTGGCCCATGGGCCTCTTCTTACTTCATGTTCTTTTTCATATCAACTTTTACCAACATCTGTTGGGTTAATTCAACACCGGGGGGGGGGGGGGGGGGTAGACAAAGTCTGTGGTCTTTTTAGGCAATAACAGCACTGAAGATTGCTCTTTTAACTTAATAGACAAAGAAAAATTAATGTACAGGCATCTGTATACATGTATACAGATAGCAGAATCTCATTTTGGTTCTGAAGGTGATGGGGCAATAATAAATACTGAAATAAAGCTAGAAAATAATGCGAGGGGGCTCAATGATATTGCAATTAAAAAGGGAAGGATTGAAAATTCCATACAAAATCTATAATGCAGAAGACTCTTCTCCCCCTCCCCAAACAACAACAACAGGGTCATGATAAGAGGTGTGCCAGCATTCTCGGGTAGTGGTGATTAATAACCCCACCCCCCGAAAATAGAGGTTTGCTCTATATGTATAAAAAAAATCTTTATAACAAAAACCATACATAGAAGTTTATAAATAAATATTTTATACACACCTGGAGCAAGTCCCTGTGCACCCTCCCACTACCACCATATATTACAATCACAACCCTCCATCCCCCACCCCATCATGTATTACAAGCCTAGAAAGAGCCTCAGGATATGAAATCATGTGTGCAAGTCAACTTCTCAGAAGTTGTTTGTGTGTTTCTCAATCACATTTTTATAATGGTAGTGCATATTATAACATCAGTGTATATAACGTACATGCAATTTTGTTCTATTTTGTTCTAAAGTTTCTTTTTCTGATTTTTAACTTTTTTTTTATTATGGTTATTTTTTCTACGATTTTTAAATCGTCAAAATAACGTATAGAATGTCTTTTTTACACTCATTTGCGATTTTAAATGCGTTGGTGCGATCATGCCAAAAATCCTTTCCAGTCTAGACAATAATAAATTTCACTGATGATTTTGCAATGCAACCAATGGCAACAGCTTTGAGGGATGGATCTTAAATTTTACAATTCAATTTGTTTATTTTAACAATTAACATGATTAAGGGCCCTCGAGGGAATTACAGAATATATGAAGATATCGTGCATTTTACACCTCACATGAAATTCAAAGAGTATATGAACGTACTATATTTAGCCCCCCCCCCTTTCCACACACACACACACACACACCCTCACACCCTCACACACACACACACACACACACAAAGGAAGTACCAATATACATGAAAAGGGCGAACACAAGAAGATTATGGAGCACAAGATTAATATATACATGTATTAAATATTTGTACCTATCTTCAAATATTTGTACCTATCTTCAAATGAATTGAAATGAATTGGAGATAGCTTTAATTCAATTATACCTATCTTTAATTCATTTGTAGGTAGGTACAATTGTGTTGAAGATAGGTATAACTAAATTGAAGATAGGTATAAATACTAAGAATTGAAGATAAGTATAATTGATATAAAGATAGGTGCAAATGAATTGAACCTAGTCTAGGTATAACTGATTTAAACCTATCTTCAAATCCTTTGAGGAGCTGTATTAATTGTACCTATCTTTAACTGAATTGTACCTCTTCAAATGGTTTAGAGATAGTATAATTCAATTGAACCTATATCTGTTATTAAATTACACCTATCTTTAATGGAATTAAAGATAGGTATAATTCCGTCGAACATATGTTCAATATTTAAATATAGGTTTATTTAATTACATCGCGACTTTAATTCATTTAAACCTATCTTTAATTCAATTATACCTATCTTAATTAATTTGAAAATATGTTCAATTATTTGAAGATATGTAAAATATATTTGAAGCTAGGTTCATGCAAATATTTGAATATATGTTAATGTGGCGTTCCATATATAGAAGATAGTACACGGAATTGGTTACTATGGTGGAGTAGAAGTGGTAAAATTTTTTGTTTTGTTTCGTTTGGGTCTTTCTTATCGAACGTCAATTGTTACCTAAAGACACGTCCATTTTGTCGCAATACTTTTAAGACACCTCACTCTCTGCGACTAGCAACATTAGTTTTGTTGAAATGGAGATTTTATGAAGTTAGAAGAGAGAGTTAGAGAGACTCCCCGCTTCTGTAAAACTAATGCATTGCAAGGAATATATACATAATTATGAATTTATCCTGTTTATTGAAGTTATCACATGTACCAGTCGTGGCGTCTCCATATGAGTGAAAAATTCTCGAGAGGGACGTTCAACAACATACAAACAAACAAAAATGTACCAGTCGAGCACGTGTTTATTCGGTGTTTATGTAGACTGACAATCTGATTGGCTATTGTATTTATAGAATACCTGTTTTACAGGTATTCGAATGAACAATTTCGTTGACAGAGTTTTTTCCCCTTTCTGGAGAAATGTCATTATGTGACAATCAACGTTCAAAAGAAAGCCCAAAATGTCCCATTCAAACGGAAAATTTTACCACTTCAATGCGCTTCATTGTTAGTTCTGTCACCACCTGTCAGATAATTATGACTATACTTGTCAAATGTTTCTGTCAGCTTGTAAGATATTTATGTCACCTTGTCAGGTCTTTATGTTGATTTGTCAGACAATAATCATGGCCAGGAACTCAGTATCTTAATATATAAGTATGTTAATGCCACTAACTGTCATCTACTTGTCTCAAGTCGCTATACGTGTCCAATGTAAACACAATCATCTAGCTGACAAGTCGATCGGCATAATTTTTTGACAAGTAGATATAATTGCCTGATAATTTGACATTATGGCGGCATATTTCTGCCACGTACCATTTGTCAGGTGTTTTTGTCAACTTGTCAGATGTATGTTTGACTTCTGAGATGTTTATGTCGACTTTTCTGATTAGTTTGTCAACTTGTCAGATCTTTATGTCGACTTGTCAGATAATAACCATCATGACTAAGAACTGTTTCTTGTTATTAAAGCATGTTAATGCCACTAAGTGATATTTACTTATTATAACATCTGACAAGTCAACATAATTTTCTGACGAATCAACATAATTTTCTGACGAGACATGGCCGTAGGAACCGGGGGGGGGGGGGGGCGTGCCCCCCATTAATTTTGCCGATATATAGATTACTATAGGAAACATAGATACTGTATACTTGTGCTCCCTCAATAAAAACGACTGATGACCTTTTGTTTTATTTTGCTTGTCAAGGAATTTTTGGTGTTGACGACCTTTTTTGCTTGTCAGAAAAATTTTGGTAGTGTCCCCTCAACTGTCACCTGAAAATGTATGGCTGTGCCCCCCCCCCCCCCAACTGAATTTGCTTCCTATGGGCCTGCGAGAAGACATTATTTTCTGACGAATCGACATTATTTTCTGACGAATCGACATAACTTTCTGACAAGTCAACATAATTATCTGACAAGTTGACATAACTATATGACAAGTCGACATAATTATTCAAGGTCAACTTGTCTGATTTATGTTGACTTTTATGGTGTTCCTTTGGGGCCACTCGCACCTTCGCCTTTAGGGCAAAGATGCGAGAGTGCGAAGTTGCGAAGGCGAAAGTGCGAAGTTGCGAAAGTGCGATATTAGCATCTCCCCTTCGCACCCTCGCCTTCGCGCTTCGCCGTCGCATCTTCGCACTTTCGCATATTCGCCCTAAAGGCGAGAGTGCGAAGGTGCGAGTAGCCCCAACGGAACACCACAGACTTTTCAAATAATTATGTAAACTTGTCAGATAAGTATGTTGACTTGTCAGATGATTATGTCAACATGTCAGATCCTTATGTTGACACTTCAGAGAAAAAAATTGTCACCTTGATGACACAAACTGGGTAAAGTCACGTTTTCAAGTTAAAATTCTATACACGTGAATTAGTGACATGTCAACATAAAGATCTGACAAGTTGATATACAATGTAATTTTGATAAGTCAACAAAAACATCTGACAAGTGATGGTAGAAGTATGCCAAAATAAGACATTAATTTTTTCAAGTCAACAATTATCTGGCAGGTTGAAATAATTATCTGGCAAGTTGACATAATTATCTGATGAGTCGATATAACATCAGCCGAGTTGACATAACATGTTATAAGTCAACATATAACTATCTGACAAGTCGACTTTTCAGATGTTATAAATCAACTTATCAGATGTTATGTCGACTTGTCAGATTACGTTGACATGTCAGATAATGATGTTGACCTGTCAGATAATTCTCAGATATCTATGTCAACTTGTCAGAGCTAGAAGTATTGTCAGAAAAATCTATTATCAACTGGATTGCACAAACTTGGCATTGAAACTTTTTCATGTTGATTTTTTTAACACGTGAATAAGTGACAAAGTCAATAAAATAGATCTGACAAGTTGACATAATGATCTGACAAGTTGGCGTGATAAACTGACAAGTTGACCTAATTATCTGACATACAGTAACCGAACTATGCTACCATATAGATCATGATGAAATGTAAAGATAATGAACAGTAATCATTCCCAAAGTCCATTTAAACAATACAAATAACGAGCAGACTGTCAGAGCCAAGACGGACCTCTGAAAAAAAAAAGATGGGTTTTGGTGCCTTGGAAAAGTAAGATACATAATATCTTCAAACATTTTTTTTTCTTTTTGATGTCTAGATTTATTAAAATTCAACTCGTTTGATTTCAAAATTTCATCTTGTTTTAAAATCATGTATGAAGATGTTGCTGCAACTCGCAAAACCAAACGTAGCTGCAAAACTGTAGCGTTATGGTTTTATATTTTAGTCTTTGACCATAACGTTATGGTCAAAGACTCAACTATAAAACCACAACGCTACAGTTTTGCAGCTATGTAAGCAAGAACCTGGAAGTTAGGTTTTAGAGTACGACTTCTCTAATGAACGAGCTATCTTGATACCAATACAGCACCTCGATCCCGATGCTAATACAGACGATAGTACAGAGAGACTTTTGGGAGGGAAAAGCAACAATATTAAAGTGTTCCTTTAGATTAAAATGAAGTGTATTATTCCTGGTGTAAACATCAAAGGTACTTATTATAATAATTTTCAGTGTCTGGTGTAATTCATCAAGACTTTGACTGAGTCAGTAAACATGGCCAACTGGCCAGGGTAGTCTCTTTCATTTGAGAAGTAGCCATATGAATGAGCAATGTATTTTACAGCAATTCGAAGACATCAAGGCAGAGTGTATACTAAGGATTTATTATCTAGCATTCTGTAACAACGACCATGTATAACTTGGATCTTCTTACACTATATGCATTGCAATCACAACATTTGTTCATTTATAACTTGCAAGAAAAGATACTAAATAATTGCTCTAAAAGGCATTGATGACAAGCGGTAAATATAGTACTGACGACTCTTGACTCTCTAAATTTTCTATGGATATTTTTCATACTGCTGTACAGAAGCTCTACAAAAACTTCATACTAGCATTGAAATACATTCACACAGTCATAAATGTATCAACAATGTTACCTATAATATGATAAATCAAGAACTTCGATCTCTGACTCCTGATTGTTCCAGATTGCAATTTTGTAATATGTTGACGGTGCGACCGTTAAGACGAGTGCAGATACCTATTCAGTTTTAATTTACATCCGTCTTCTCAAAAAGCATGTGACATTTGGTATGTCTAGACCCTGACTTCACAAGCGACGAGATACAATTCACAAAGCATTATGGGACCACAGGTTACTGTGGAAAAAAATTCATTTGGATCAATGTGCAAAGTCCGAATTTTCTCTTTGCCCAGGCATTGCTTTAAGAGCTCGCAGTGACAAGCGTCACTTTGCGCCGCTCACTGCACTCTCTATTAATGTTCTTAATTTCACCAAATAGAATCACATCCGACTTCTTAGGCATATTTTCTATGCCATAGTAAATGCACATACTTAAATATATCAACAATGTTACATATAATAATGTCAACTGTCCAAAAGCAGTAAAATTTAGTACTAAAGATATAAATGTAGAAACCAAAAACCAGACACTGATTCATCGAACTGCTCAATTTAGTTAAAAAATGCCATCATTTTTAATATTTTGATATTTTCATACTTAAGTGAATTAAGTTCAACATATTTAATGTGCCTGAAAAGTTTGAACCAAATCTGTTAAGCAGTGTCAGCAGTATGTTCTAGATTTACCGCATGCCACTGCATTGATTTTGTAAATTCTTTTAAATTTTATCCATATCTTTCTTTTTAATAGTTTTTGGAAGAGCAATTCATTCATTGTCAAAAATTGGAGAGGAATTATACATAGAACCTCTTGCTCATGGGGTATGTATTGCAAAATTAAATCCTTTAAAAAAACAATGCTTTTTGCTTTTATTTATGAGAAAACTTTATTGTAAACATTATATCATATATATTCACTTATGTTTACTCCCTGGTTTCCATTGGGACCCACTCTCAGTTATTGTTTTTTATTATAATTTTATCTCTATCTGTTACAGTTGGCCTTAAGGACAGTCAACTCATCAAGGTCAGCATATGCTTGTTTCCTGTTTTTCCCAACATTTTTCCAGCACTATGATGATGGGACACCAGAAATTTCTTCTCAGGATAGCGAGGACTCCATCAGGTGCAAAATTGCCATGAAGGTCTTTGATTTAGATTTTACCATAAATTTTAATATTAAGGCAATTACCAGTATCACTATATAACAAGCACAGTTTTTCTTTTGTATGTTTATAAGACCACATCATGCACTCCTTGATTTCATGAATATCACAGCATTTTATACACTGGTGTTAATTTTTGACATAAAGAATACATGTACTTTGTTTCACTAAGAATATTAAAGTATGCTATTAAGAATAAATATATCTAAGATATTTAATATTGTGTGTTTATTATTAAGAATAAAGTTCATAAGCAGTGCATTTAATAGTGTTTTATATATACCGGTATACAAATGATAAATTTATATAGTACTGGTAACGATGTTACTTATACAAAATGTATTTCAGGTACCATTGAACATATTGTGAAAAAGGATGATTTAAGATCTATAGAAAAACCATCCGAGTAACCGGTTACTCGATCGGAAAAGTAAGCGAGTAACCGGTTACTAAAAATCGTCCGATTTGACAACACTAGTATTTTTATATGTCATTAGTAAATTTGTCCAAATAATGTCATTAAAAAAGATTTTATCTTCTCTAAGCTGCATGCCCAATCTAGCTGAATCAGTTTTTTAAAATACTGTTTGGAGCAATCATATTTTTAAGAAAACTGCAATGCAATGATACAAAAAGGAAGATAACTGTTGCTTAAGTTTCTCAGTTTAATAAAGTAATGTTAAGAGAACTGAAATTATATGCTTGTTTGTTCAGTATATTTTTAACTTTTTTTCAGTCTTGTTTGATTGTCTTCAAATCAATGTCCAATGTGGAGAAGACCGTTGAGAAGTGCCAAATTACTCTAAATATGCAAAAGGCAAGACTCATCTTCAAACTGTATTGCAAACATGGTATGTTAAAGGCTCTAAATTTTTCCAAATGATAATTTTAGTTTAAAATACCTGTACGAATACAGAAGCCGTACAAGTAAGCCTTATATGTATTGTATTTGATCTTATATAAGAATCTAGATGACTGTGGTTATCAGTTCTCGATCAGTTGTATTTAAATATTCTAATGAATACCAAAATGTTTTATATGAAATCCAATTTTGATTTTCTCTAGCCAAAATAATACTGAGTTGGCTTATTGCTGTTTATTTTATATGTAGTAGTTCATCATGAGCTGCATGCATTGATAGTATTTTGAAAACTTTCAAAATTTTGATCTCTTCGGCTAATTAGTATAATCTAAATGAACCATTTTTATATGGCGTAGACTCAGATTTGATAACATCATGGCCTTTACAGTTATTCTATAAGAGGGCTGGGACGATACAACTTTTTCTATATTGATATGTGTCACGATATTTGAGCCACGACACAATATGTATCACAATATGTTGAATTGGTTATATGGGTTTTTTTTTTTAATTGAAATGAAGAAAACATTTCTTCACAAATAAGAATGATTTATTCAAAGGAGTTGCATATCTGTTGTAAAACAAAATTATTTTACATAATTGGTGTTAATTAATCATTATGTATTTCATATTTATATTTATATTTAGCATATTTATTTTACATATTAAACCCAAAATATTAAGTAAACAAAGAAAAACATAAGTCAGAATTTTTTTGCGATATTTCTTCATACGCATCGATATGCGTATCGTCCTCACACAGAATCGAAATTATCAATAACTCGATATATCGTCCCAGCCCTACTCTGTAAGGGCCATGATGTCATCAAATCTGAGTCTACATACCATTTTAGGTAAATTAAAACTCCAAATTGAGGTTTAACATGTAGTAATTAAAAAATGTTGTACTATTTGCATGTGAATTTAAAAACCATTGAATACAAACTTTTTTTTCTTTCAAACCATTAATTGTGGATAAGGATATACCAACATGTTTAAACTTTCAAGAGAGTCAGACACAAAGGCTTTTTTTTCAGGAATTGTGAAGACACACAATTTAGCTTTCATAGAATGTGAAACATTACAGGCAGTGTTCTCAAAAGATATGTGTCCAAATCAGCTGACAGCACAACCAAGGTAGGCTTTCTGTGTGTGGCTATTTTGAGGGAATTTCATTGCCACAGTTTGACTAAATGTGTAATACATGTATAGATCTCAAGGTGACCTGTATAAAATCTCCTGGAGAAGCTTTTTGCTAAGTTAACTTTTCTGGTATGCTGTACCAAATTTTCATAATTGTTTCAACTAAATCCAATCATTTTCTGTTTCTAATATTGTTTATTTAGGCTGTATTTACATTATAGAAACTGTTATTACTGTAAGCTAAACATCACATGTATCCATTACAATCTTTAAACCTCAAGTAGCAGATCAGAAATATTTAACTTGTTTGTTTTTTCTCAGTATTAATCAAAATTTTCAAAAAAATTCTCACCCACATGTAAAAGTATTTTAATTGCTAGATTTCATTACCGGTACTCTGTTATAGACTGCTGTGTGATACAGTGGTGAACTTCCAGTCAAATCAGGAGGAGGTCACTCTGATTGTCTCCCCTGAGAAGATTTCATTAAAGAATTATACTGATGATGAGCCAGGTGAGAGTATTCATAGCATAAAGTCAAAGTTGTTGGAGACATTAATTTAATTTAATTATAATTTGTATGAAAAATGTATAAGCTTTAGACATGAGTTGCTAGAGTTATGCTTGTTGCCTGACATCAAGGATCTTTTCTGAAACCTTGGTCACTCACATGGGCCAATGATGTACTTTTCATATTGTTCACATTTCTGACATAGTACTGCATAGGGTAATCCTAGGACTAATTTAAGTTTCAGAAAGTGTTTGTGAGAAAATGACCAGATAATACATGAATATATCATCCCTTGTTCAAATAAATGTAAATTATGGTAAAGGAGAAGTATTAATAATTATTTTGAAATAGTTTATATTTAGTCCATGAGAAGATAAAAATTTATACTTTCTTGATTGAATACACAAATGACAAAGTGTCAGTCATAGTCTTGTTTTCAGGTATTCAATTTAACCAATTCTTACAATGTCAAGTAAGTCTTCTCTAAGAGTAAAACAAATGCAGCAGCCACAGTAAACTAGATTGTATTAAAATCTTATGAATTTCAGACCCTACAAAAGTAGTCCATACTGTCCTAAATCTAGATCCAGATGAATTTGAGAATTGTCAGATAGGAGTCGATACAGATATCACCTTCTGTCTAAAGGAGTTCAGGGTATGATGGCTGGTATAATGATCTCTGCATGCAGATTTGTCTTGATTTAATTCAAGAGAAATTTATTTTCATGCTAAAATCATGAGAAGCCACTTTTAAGAACTTTTAAATGAAGTAAATCATATATCTTTGTACAAATATACTTTGCAAACAAAAAAAAAATTAAAAACAACAACAACAAAAAAAAAACAAACAAACCAAAACTGCAGTCCATTAGAATAAGAATTAACAAAGAAAGCATGTTAGGGCAATGTTTTTGAATCACAATTCTTTTATTCCTCACAGGCAGTCCTTGCATTTGCAGAAATCACAGCTATGCCAATAAATATCAAGTTTGAAACCTCAGGAAGGTAATTTATTACATATCCTTTGTGTGTGTATATATATTTCAGTTTTTAAACATAAAACGTAAAACATTCAATGAAATGTAAGCATAAACACTGAAGTTTTAACAGGATAAATAAATGTTGTACCCATCTCTTATCTGCAACTCCTCCTATACAACTGAATAAAATTTAATGAGACTTTCAAATAATCTTTATTATGAAGTGCCAATGTGCACATTATATTTTATGTTCTGATTGGACAGATATTTGGGGTTTTATGTAGCAAAAAATGGACTTTGCCATTGTACTCATATGGGAGTGGGGGGTTTCATTCTGTGAGCTCAGTGCCCATAGTACCTCTAGTTTATTAATATTTCAGACCAGTGGTGTTCAGTATTGATGCTGACAGTGCTTTTGAAGCTAATTTTGTGCTGGCAACTTTGGCAGAATCTCACTCACAGTCGGGAAATTTCACTTCCCATACAACACAACAAACACTGCAGAATGGAGCATGCAGGTCAGATTAAGTTTCACTTTAATTTCACAAGGATTGTATTCTTCTTTGTTCTTTGAAGTAATGTTATGTTTATTGACTACAGTGGTTACATATTTTTGGAGCTTGCATAAAGTAAGTGCATATTAAGTATAACAAAACACAGAACAAATTTAATATATTACATAATCTTTGTTAAAATTGAGGCCCCCCGAGGCTAGGATAGGGTTACAATAAGAGGTCAGCATTAAATATTTGAATTAAAGGAAATATTTTAAGAAATCTATGAAAGAACAAAACTGTGTAAGTGTCCACAGGTAGTGTAGATTAACAATTTGTGAAAGCTGTAGCCTCTGATGGGGGGGGGGGGGGGGGGGGGGGGTAAGAGTACTAACTTAATAAAGATAAAAGGTGAGCATTGTGGCCTGTGGGCCTTTTCTTACAGCTGTAGTGTGAGGTTGAAGACAAATCAAGTTAAAACTTTTATGCTCTGATTACATAGTGTAATATATAATTATACAGCTCTGCTTTGAGGTCCCATTCAAGAAGAACAAAAAAGTCACAAAGAGGTCAACATCATATGAACCAATCAAACAACAGCAGTGACTCGCATCTTAATGGGCACAGGTACTAACGAAGCTGTCAATCAAATGAAAAGAACTAATAATTAAAGATCAATATTTTTTGTAAGAGCAGACCAATTAATTTTTGTTATGTCATTTCAATATGTACCATTTCCATTTTCATTAACCATGCAAAATTTGAATTTTTAACTTTGAAATTTCTTATTTAATACTCAACCAATGTTACAACAAAAACGTGACTTTAAGTAGGGCTGGGCAAAAATACCAATATTCCAGTATATTGCGGCACGATGACAAAAAATATGATATTGCAATACATTTTTGTAGTACCGATATACCGGCAAAATGCTTGGACTCAGATTTCTATAATAAAAAAAATAAAGTATATGTTGTCAGAATCATTTGCGATCGTGCCAAACAGTAAGGCAAAAGCTGTTGCAGTGGGTGCATTTTGATGCATAACTGTATATAAATCAACAAAAAACTTTTTCTTCATCATTTATCATAGTTATTTACATTCTACGTGTAAATGGAGGTTATTAAGATAAGAAAATACCACTTTAATTTTCGTTGAAAATATTGCAATACATATCTCAGTACAGTTAGAAATATTGCAATATATTCCAATACGAAATCTCTAGGCAATACCCAGCCCTAACTTTAAGTTTATCATCTGGACAGAGAACATGCAAGTATTTTTTATCAAAAGGATGAACATTACAAGTGACACCCAATCCTAGTCAAACTTTGATGTGCATTACCTACTGTACATTATATTTAATCCTGCTTTCTCCAGTCATTAAATGTCAACGGAGATATAAATAAATAATCCAAAAGAAGCAAAGATAATGAGAGTAGAAATGGTAGTGATTAGATGACTAAGATGGCAATTTTATGGACACTGACACATCAGACTAACTTATCCCTTCACCTCAAAAAGTTACATACTGAATAGGTGGAGATAAAATACTGGATAAAATTGTTTGACATATATACTCTCTGTTGAACAACAGTATTATAATATGTAAAATTTATACAACCCAATCATTAATATAAAAGTATATACATGTATTGAAGAGATGAAAGAGAAAAAGTTGTCTCTCAGGAGAACATTGTGGCCAATGAGTTTATTGTTTAAATTCATTTTTTGTTTTTGTACATCACTGTACAGAAGTGATCAAGTGAAATCATTCCCAAAAGAAGATTTTGATGATGAGATACAAGTACCCAACATATTAAAAGCTGCTGGAAATTCATCAACTGAGAAAAATGACGCAGACAGAGTATTCCATGCAGAAAGTGTGTTTGCCAGACACAGCAATCAAACCATGTCACAACAATCTACATCGAGTAGTTATAGAAGTCCTGTCATACCTAACCAATTACACAAGGTCAGAATTGTCTTTACTGTGAGAATAAAATAGTAAATTTTCTCCTTTTCTCAAGATCACAAAGCTACATTATCCAATGTAAGTATCCAAGCATATGTTTGTAAACTTTTTTTTACGTCAACTCACACCTCCAAAATCTTGATCGGTCAAGACTGAAAATCACTTGTGTTAGATAAGCATTACATGTATGACATATAAGGAGAGAATAAGCCATATCTAAAAGAATGTGGCAGAGTAAATTAACATCACGTATCTATACTAGTATCAGCTTTAATATAGTTTATGGCATAACCTTTGTCTTAGTGTGGGATCACATAAAAGGATTTCAGAAACATTTTTGAAGAGAGAGAGATGCAACTCAGATGAGCAGATGAGCATTGACCACGGGCCTCTTGTTTATATATTTTCTCCATTCTTTTTTAGAGCATCCTTGAAGATGTTGATATGGATGATGAAGAAGATGAGCCAGTTCCTGGAACTCCACCAAAGAAAAAAGTAAGAGGTTTTTCCTCTAGAGTCTGTAATCTTGTGAGGAAAAGTAAATCTTAGATTGAGTGTTATGTAATCTATTATTGTTTTATAATGCTATGATTAGACACTTTCATACATAAGTTTGTCTCTTTATCTAATGCTCTACTCCTACAGTTTAAGTCTGATTTCAATAAATCTTCATACCATGAATTTTAAACAATTATTTTCAAAGTTTATTGATTAGTTATGATTGATTCCCAACACCACTGTACATGTGTATATACAATGTACAGTTAAAACTATCTAATCCAATACACACTTGGATGCAGATTTTGTGTCAAAATAGACATGGTGTTGGATTTCACAGTGTATAGAGAATAAAGATGATAGTAAAAGTGGAATAAAAATAAAGATCGGAATTCACAGCAAAATGGATTGCACAGGTGTCAAATTAGTTTTTATATGGTTGTAAAATTGTCATCATTTAACAAGAGACTTGACATACTTTATTGTAATTTTAGTAAGTATATGAACTTATTTTTTCATATAATCATTGCAGGCCTGATACCAGTATTTCTTAAACCTATTATTTACATACGTAATGTATATTTTAAAGGGGGCTAAAAATAATGCAGGTCAAACATGGTACATGATATTGAGAAATTTTATATGCACCCGATTCTTTTATAAGTATTTGTTTTGTTTTACTTTCAGTTTCGGTCCATGTTTTTTGGCATGTCACAGGCCAGCAGTACAGCCTCCCAGGGTACTCAGGGAACCAGGATCCCCCCAAATCCCCAAGTTCTGGTGGAAGACACTGATGAAGAGGATGATTGAAATTGTTATGTCATTAACTTTGTTTTAATAAAATATTTGTTATACATGATTACAGATTAAAGTATCGTCTGTGTTATGAATAGTAGCATTTACATATTTAACTTAAATTGATAGAATTTATCCTTAGGAAAATTGAAAATTTTCATTCAGGTGAGCCTAACAGTCCATTAACCTCATTCAAAATCTTGGAGGATAGTATAAGATCGATAGGTTTTGGAGACACTGATAATAGGTCAAGATGTAATGTGTCACAGCTTTGCAAAAATTTCTTCTACACTTTTATGAGAACTGTTGTGCATCACAAATATTTTCCCAGAGTCACTTTTATAATACTGTAATATTCTGTTATGAAGAGCTTGAACTCCCTACATATTAAACACCATCTTAGTTTATCACTATTTACTAATATTGCTAGTATTCTTGTAACAGAGACATGTATGTGCCTCTGCTGGGGATTGAACCTGGGGCCTCTGGCTTGCCAGTCCAGTGCTCTACCAATTGAGCTAAAGGGTTAACCCACTAGCTCAAGCTTGTAGGAAGCCGTGTATCTGACACTACCACATTCTTACAGCTTGCACACAAACTGTCGGGTGTTTCACCCTCACACATTCCAAAAAACCTGAAGGTATTTATAAGTTACCAAATTGAAATGAACAAGTCAGTGAAACGTACAAATGTTAATCAGATGCAGCATTCAGACCATGCATTAGACTAGGTATCCATGGATACACCAAATGTGCCTGTTTGTTTGGTATACTTCTTGTTATGTACAGGGAACTCACTTCAATACATACTGACTTTGACTTTGCTTGTGCAAATTAACAGACAGCTAGATAATCAGACATGATTGGAGATTACCATCCTCCACCCCTACCAAAAAAAAAAAAAACAACAACAACAACATTGTTGCAAAGAGGAGGGATAATATTCATCAGGTGTCTCTTCCCCAACTTTTCTTCAGTTTGCAATCTTGTTAAAGTATTTTATGCTGAAGAATCCATCAAATAAGTATAATATTGACTGAATTATAAAAAAAACATTTTTGCAAAACAATTTCAGATCCAAACAAATCTCTTTTTCTTCACTTTTTATGTACAGATCACCATGTAAAGTGAAACACAATTCAACAGTCATCTAGCTGACAATAGAGATGTACAAACAATGATCTCCCATGATTTTCCAATGGCAAAATTCATTTTGTGTTTTTATACTTTTATTTAATGTTTTACACTACCAACATACAAGAGGCTCATGGGCCACTACATTCACCTGAGTGACCTTGGTCCTGCTGTTCTGTAATCCCCCCCCCCCTTTATTCCAATGAAAAATTAATTTTGAACCAATATTGTGGCTTCACCTTAGTCCCATGGATTTATTATGAAAATGAACTTGAGTCCACACAGCCTGGGGATATGACTTGAATGGGCTTCCTGTTATACATGTGTAAATTTGATTCCCTGTTTTAAAAAAAAAATATGAATCTACACATCTTTGAAATATTGATACATCAATATGATTTAGTGTGGTCTTGACTCTCTTGGAAATTTTTTTTTTTAATTTCAATTTCACACAACACACCAGTAAAAAGAGCCCAAGAGCCTTAATGCTCACCTGAGTATAATAAACCTTGTAAAGGATCCACAGAATACACACTTGCATTTACACTTTGTCTGAAAGCTCATCTTTTCTGGTCCAGTGGTTTTTGAAATTTTTAAATTTTCACTATTTCATAATTATCTCCCCTGAAAAAAAGGTGGCCCTTCATTTGAATTTCTTTTACCCAACTATACTCTGTGCCAAGTTTGACTGAAATTCACAGTGGTTCTGGAGAAGGATATGAACTGAAATTCACACAGTGGTTCTGGAGAAGAAGATGAACTTGTGAAAAGTTTACAACGTGACAACAATCAAGGACAGATTTTGATCATTAAAAGCTCGTTATAGCCTTTGGTTCAGGTGAGCTAACAAAATTATTTTACTACCTAGTGGATCACTAAATAACCAGAGGTTTCTGATAAGATTCCACCTCTGTAGAGACTTAAAACAGTCCTAGGGAATTGGAACACATATACATTGACATTCCTCTCTGAATTTTCTGTTGTCAACATATTTACATGTACTCTCAAAGCAGAGAGGAGCATCTATGTGAATAAAGTTGTACTAAAATTAGACAAAAAAATGCCTAAGACTAGCAATATTTTGCTACAATTTTGACCAACTTATTCTGTAAAACAGGAACACGTATACCAAAAGTCTCTGATGAGATGGTACCTTTATAGGTTGCAACCCATAGTGCTCTATTGAAATAACTACTACTGAAATGATAATTTCAATAGTGGTGAGAATGCATTTCAAAACTAAACACACATGCAACCACTATTGAAATACCAAACCACTATTGATATAATTATTTCAATAGTGGTTTAGAAGGCATTTCAAAACCAAACACACATTGCAACCACTATTGAAATCACATCCACTATTGAATTAGTTATTTTTTGAAGTTCCTAAATCTCAAAGTACATGTACTCTAATGCCAACTTTATAAATGCAAGCTTCAAGTAATTATGTTATAGAATCGGATGTTTCCTCCTTGATCTTATTTGGGAAAGTTAAAGTTCAAATACATGTACATGTAGTTATAAAAACATTTGTAATGTTGGAAAAAAAGGACTAAAATGTATGTTTCATTTTATCTCAAAAAATGCTTTACACTGAAACATGAACATTTCCTTTTTTCTCCTTCAAAGTTGTAAAAATAACTGAAAAACAGCCATTAAAATGGCCCACTTCTCACTAATTTTCCAACAATTTCAGTGCTCTCAACCTAACATTTATCTACACACTCTCTCCTATAACATCCATGCCAACATTCATGGACAAACCTACATAACCATTATAGTTAATTAAGCAATGCTACTACTATGAAAGAGCACTTCCAAGGAACTTTGTCAAGGCATTATTACAATATGGGTGTTATTTCAATAGTGGTTGCAATAAAGTGTTGTTTTTGAAATGCATTCTCAACCACTATTGAAACAATAATTTCAATAGTTGTTATTTAAAAGTGGTTGCAATAAAGTGTTGTTTTTGAAATGCATTCTCAACCACTATTGAAACAATAATTTCAATAGTTGTTATTTAAAAGTGGTTGCAATAAAGTATTGTTCTTGAAATGCATTCTCAACCGCTATTGAAACAACAAGTTCAATAGTTGTTATTTAAAAGTGGTTGCCATAAAGTGTTGTTTTTGAAATGCATTCTCAACCACTATTGAAACAATAAGTTCAATAGTTGTTATTTCAATAGTGGTTGCAATAAAGTGTTGTTTTTGAAATGCATTCTCAACCACTATTTTTGAAACAATAATTTCAATAGTTGTTATTTAAAAGTGGTTGCAATATAGTGTTGTTTTTTTTTAAATACATTCTCAACCACTATTGAAACAATAATTTCAATAGTGGTTGTTATTTCAAAAGTGGTTGCAACAGTGCAGTACTTACATGTATTTACATTTGAACGTGAAACACATTCATAGAAAAAAGACAGGCAGAGACAGCAGGTTAAATAATGCAAGTCAAAGCTTTTCTCAAACAAAATACTTTTATTGGAAAGAAATCAAAAACATTGAAGTCCAAGTCCCAACCAAATATTTCTTTAGTATTTTAATCTTGATATCTTGAATCCTCAGATATCCTAAAGTTTTTTCTCACTTCTACATTGATGGAGTTCAAGATAAATAGGTTTGACTGCAGTATTTTGAAACAATGAAATTATAATTCATCTATTTTTAATATAAAGCAATTTTTGAGAATTGTTAAAGATAGGTGAAAAAAACCAGGGCTCTCGTAACATGTTAGGGATTAGGGCCAGGGCCATTAAAATTGGTAAAATGAGCAACCTTTTCTTTTTTTTTAAGGAAAATCATTAAAAATAAACACATTTTGGGTTTCTGGTAGTTGTTAACAAATAAAATTTTGCTGTGTAATACCCAGAAACATAAGTAGCAAATTCCAGAAAAGTTAAAACAGAAAGATGATTGGAAAAAAGAAAATTCTAGCCGTCTTTTCTTAATCCTGCCATTTCTTGATGATGGTGAAACATGTACATGTATATATAACAGATATCAGTTTATTCACCGTGACAACATGCAAACACAACTGTCAGAATAACAATAGTATTACATACTGCTACTTAAATCATGGACAGAATCTTAACAAAACAATTTTAATGGAATTCAAATTACATTTTAAGGAAAAATTCATTACACAACCATACTCTATATAATCATTGCTAAAATTTTAACCAAGGATGAGATTCTAGGGATTCCTTTTTCCTGTCCCCATAATCATATAAGAGTTCCTCTCCTATAGAAATGTCTCTGGAGGCCACAAGCATGAGATAAGGGCGGTCATTAATCTCTGTCAGCTTTGTGTGACAGTTTCCTGCTGTTTTACTGTGGTTTATGAGACGTCCTAATCTTCCACTTTCAGCTGTGGCATCAATGCTAAAATGAAGACAAAAGTTTCATGCATTAATTTTTTTTCTTTCTTTTTTTTATTTTAACAGATTTGACACTCACAACAGGCCCTTGGGCTACAACTCTGACCATAGCTTTTTCTGACAAATAATTGTTATATTTACATTTTTTTTTTTTTGCTTGTGAAAAAGTATCTTGATATGTTTCCTTCCACAAAGTCTTGTCTTGTATTTTAGCAAATCAGAAAAATTACCAGTAGTGTCTGTTTTTGTGAACAAAGTAGTACATGTAGCACCCAAATTTTGGATTTTCAGAATACTCCTTTTCTCGTTGTTTTGCTGTGGAAAGGTCTATAAGGTCCCCTGCATATTCCACTACAAAATCCCCTCGTAAAAACTTCCTGGTGGCAATAACTCCTCTGCCTTTTTCTCCTAAAGTAGCAACCTACAAAGAATTTCAAAACCAGTTACTTTATTAAGAGTATGTCAATGTGCACACTCTATCTGAAATCACTCAAAGCTAATATATACCACTCTCTTTTTTTAACATTTGAAAACAATTGTTCCTTAATAATAGATCAATCATACTCTAACTCTGATAGAGATGATGAACAACCTGTACCCAGGATTTTCATATTTCACAACAAATCAGGGAGACTTGATCCTCCCACATGTACTCTTAACGCCTACTTACACTCTCACCCGTAAGAGGCCACTCATGGGAGAATGTCAAACTGGCCACTTAATATAGGTGGCCTCTGATTCAGGGTTTCAAGTCGATGAGTAAACTTGGAGTATTATGCTATTCTTACACACACCTAGTTCCGCAATTTTGACATGTTAGCAAATTATATGTTATAAAATTCAAATGTAACCCATTTTAATCAGTTTACATAGACTTCTCAAAAAGTCCATGTTACTATCAAGTGCAATTTCCTTGATGTTTGGTTGAATTCTTCAAGACATGTACATACACTATGTGTACATCTTATTGACTTTTGCTGAAAAATACATCATAATACAAATTTTATTGAAATGTTTATATACATGTACTAGCATAAGTGTTAATTAAAGACGGCCATCTGATCATGGTGACAACCTCAAGCAGTTTGTTATGAGCTAAATAAAATTTATATCATGAACATATTCTTAAACTGTCTTTTGTATATAAAGATTAGTTTAAAACCTTTTAATGAATCTATCTCAAAGCAAGCAAAATTCAAAATAAACAAGTAATTATGTATGTCATTATCAGACCAGTTGTTTATGTATGGCTTTGTCCATACAAGATCAGATCTTGCATGTATCTGAATCTATACACTTTGAGAGGAATCTTTAAGCTCGATCTCTTCTGGATCAGTGGTTCTGGAGAAGAAGATTTTCATATCACCCTACTTTTGCCTTTCTTTGATTGTTAGTCTTTAGATGGGGTGGGGTCATTTAAAATGTTCCTTCATTTGAAAGAAAATAACTTCTATAACCATCACCAAGTACACTTTGTGCCTCAATTGGTTGAAATTGGTCCAGTGGTTCCAGAGAAGAAGTCACGAATGTAAAAGTTAAAGACAGAAAGAAGGAAAAAGAAAAACTTCAGACAGATGGTCAAAGGACATCTTATCATCACATTTAAGCTCTTATGGTCGAAAAATGTTACAGAACTTGAACTTCCTCACTCCTGAATTGAAAAATTCAGGAATTGCTTCATGGACACTATTTTGCATGTGTAAAGTAAATTGTAAAATACATGTGTAAAGTGCCTTTATGTACTGAGCCATAGAAATTTCTACATTACCTCTAATCCTTCCTCCACATTATTTAGTATCTTCTCTTCAAGTTCTGCCCTTTTTTCTTTCTTGAAAATTGAAATTGAGAGAATATCTCATTTTTCTTCAATTGGTGCAATTAACACAAACTAGTAAATTATAAAAGCATATATATTGTTGGTTAATTGTTCAGAATTCACTGAAATTAAACAAAACAAAGGTGGTCACCAAAGTCACACAAATATTTTCAACAGTAATTTTCTCCCAAGATTTAAATTAATTAAGTGGCCCCATTGTTTTTGAGGGAAAAAAAGTTAAGATTTTTTCAGTAGATTTCTATGTATATACTGTATATATCAATTCTTCAAATGGAATGAAAAGTTATGACATGTGAGAAATCTTAAAGTAGATTGAGATTATAAACGTAGATTAGCAAAATTAGCACAAATCCAAATTAATATCCCCCACAAATAACAATTTCTTCATTCCATACCTCTATTTCTGACTTAGGTTTGCGACAACTTCTACGTACTGGAAAATAATCAGTCAATAACTTGTTGTCTAGGCCAGTTTCTATCAATTTTCTAAAGGACAAATAAAAACTGTTCATTAATATGTTTAACTCATGATAAAATATTTTTAGAATACAAAATAAATTTATGCTTTCTCCCATGATATACTAAAATGAAATTGTAATTAAATACTGTAAAATCACATATTTTTGTGGGGTCCAATTTTTAGGTTTGATGAAAAAACAAGCATTCTGAGAGTACTGCATTAGCAATACTAGTCCCCTACCGGCAAGTGTAATCTGGTTCCCGTTAAGAATTGAAAATGCCATAATTCTGTCAAAAATCAATGAAGCGGAACGAAATGCAAATTTGATCTATAACTAATCAAGGTAAAGTCACATACAAAAAATCAGCTCAATATCTGAAAGCGTTTAGAAGAAAATTGCGGAAAACCAAGTGGGACAGACAGACAGAGGGACAGACAGACAGACGGACGGACAGACTCAGAGGAAACCTATAGTCCCCTCCGGTTTCACCAGTAGGGGACTAATAATGGTTCGTGGGGATTTTATTTCATGGATGAAGAAGTGCTTATTTGTTATTTGAAATTTTACATTTCATGGAGGACATGAATTAATGGGTCTCTTCTTACCAAGAACACAACAAAAATTAACCCCCCACAAAAATTAGTGATTTCACAGTATAACAAATAATCATGTCTAGAACATAAACTTTATCTTTCTATACAGACTCACCTAGTGAATTAATTTGGTTGGCATTTGGGTGTATTATCATAAGACAATGTGTCACCTAACTTTAAAATCCACAAATTAACAAAATCTTTTACCTCAGACTCAAATTTTTATTTCGCAAGAAAGCCTGTCTAGGCCTGCACTGCATTATCACACATTATATTGAATCCTGGTATACTCCAACACATTTTCTCCCTTTTCTATTACAATATATTTGGTTTTGACACTTGTTCTGTTCAACACACATCTTACTTTTTTCTATTCATCCTGGCCCTTGGTGAATTGACAGTTAGGACTGGTTTGCCTGTCTTGTTGATTCCTTTCCTATCATTACAGGGTGTTCCATTAGAAGTCAACTGAAATAATTCAAAGCAGAACAGTAGTACTTTGCATTCACAAAATAGAATTCAACTAATTATTTTTTCATTTTTTCTTCATCAGATTTTTTCTTCATTTTATCTGTTTGATACTTGACCATTTAATTTGAAACATTGCATTTTGTCAAGTTTGCCAAAGTTGCTTTAAAAACCAGATTTAAAGTATTAACAAATCACTTTTAAAAATACTGATAACAAAACTTACATTCATTTCCACTTTACATGGGGTGAAACACTTGGAATCAGATGTATCATTTTCCACACAATTCTTCTTTCCTTTAAAATTGCATCAACCATTTAGATAAATATATCAACCATTTAAGGATTTATCTTATTTTAAATGTGCAATATCTTAGTATATATGAGATACTGATGTTACACAGTTATTATCATTTTTACCATGCTACACTCTGAATGTTGTTATCAATTAATAAATGAAAATATCATATACCTGGACTGGTAAAGTAGGCTGTGATTTTAGATGAATCTGTTTTGTCATTGGAGTTCTCCATTCTAAGTAATAGAAATTTAAATTGGGTACACATAAACATCTCTTCCTGCTCATCCAGATTTTCTGAAAATCTAAGTTACTGTAAAATGGTTCATGAGGCAAAAATATGGCAATAAGACAGGTTTACTTGTCTGTGACCAGATAGTATCTGTTGAAGTGTTCAGGGGCTCTGGGTTCAAAAGCTGGTCTGCTCTTATATTTCTTCCTTTCTGTTACAGTTCATGTTGTGCCATGTCCTAGAATGTGATGTAGAAAATGCAATGGACCAGCCCATGATTTTATTATCGAACCCAGGCCCCCTTGATCTTAGGTGACAGGTGCTTTACCTGGCAAACTATCCAGTCACAAGCAAATGAATTTGTTTGACCACCATATTCCTCCGTCCCAGCGTTTTTTTTTTTTTTTTTTTTTTTTGTCCTTATACATGTATAACTGGTACCAAGAAAAAGTACCATTCCCAATGCAGAAAAACATTAATTTTTCTTTTGCCCCGGTAGGACTTTGATAAGTAAGTCCAGGGGAGGTGAAAAGCACCAAATGTAACAGTAACAAAGAGAATGCAATAGACCATGACAAGTGCTCGGGTAGGGACATTTTAGCAGAATTTCTGAGTGTACATTGTGAATGGATATTTTAGCTAAAGAAAAATTGGTTACCTGTAAACTAAAAGTTCAATGGACAATATAGCCAAGTTTGTTTTTTTTTTTTCAGTAGATAATTTTAATTCTTTTTAAATAATCAATGTAAAGTCATCAAAAATTGATCCATGGTCATCACGTTAATGACTACGTTTCTGACTCTTTTGGAGGTTTTGATGCTGAAGACTGGAATTCACTTAAATTAAACTCACTAATTCTTCTCAAAATCCTACTTCCACGTCCCGTTGGTGAGAAGGGGGCAGCAGACTTAGTGTGGCTTACTGTAGAGATAAATATGAATTCGACTTAACTCTCCAGTCCCGCTAAATGTCTACATCCTATTTTAAATTCCTTTAAAACGTCTTATATATCTTCCACTAAAACGTCCACAAATTTTCCTCTTAAATGTTCCTTTCTTTGCTTTAATGTCCTGTCAATCTGCTAAAATGTCCAACACCAAGGTGTTCTTAAGCAGCTGGGCTATCTGGCTAGGAGCTAAATCTGACTGACACACAAAAACCTGCCTGAGATAAAAAAAAAAATGCTGATGTCTGGAGGAAAGGACATTAAGAGGGAGGAATGGGGGGGGGGGTGTCGGTGGCCAGATAGCTTTGTTCCTCAGTAGACCACATGGGCCCATATTCAAATGCTGGTCTGGTTTTCTGCATTTTCTCCCTTCATGCTACATTCCAAATACCTGTCTTTTCACATGAATATCCCCTTCTATTTCGCTGAAACATGTAAATCTTGCAGAATATAAGATTACAAACAGTCGTGTGATGCTTTTACCAGGGACGCTATACTATCAACCAGGTTTATAGCTATCTATGTACTGATGTAGGTCCCTGATATTTCACATACTGTCTAAACAATAACATGCAAAAAGAAAAAACAATCGTAGAGAAGGAAAAACATAACAAAATTTCATTTATGTTATCTAGATATTTGTTTGAAACTAAATAAAATGTAGAGTATGTATGAGAATAATATATTCTTGTGTTCAAACCTTTTCCTATGTTTTCAACTTCAAGTCCGCGAAAGCTTCTGCTACACATAACGCTATTCTGATTGGTCAGTTTCGGGGAGGTATAATGTGCTGATAGTATAATGTCCTGGTTAATTAATAACATGATCACATTTGAACCGTTGTAAAGTGCCAGAACAATTTTCTTTTAACTGATTGTAATCCAGATACTTATTTTCTATAAGATTCATGAGAGAAAAAGTTAAAAAAAATTATTTTGTTTCTTTGACAGGGGTATAATGTCCTTATTTTGGGATACATAATGACCGGATGGCTTAAAGAAAACAATGTTTAAAAATATATAAAATTGATATAAAAATCAGTCAAATAAAAAGAACTTATTTTTATTTTTATTTTTTCCCTTCTACTTTTTTTTTTTAAATTTTTATATATATCTTATTTTATTTTTATTTATGAATCAACTAGATTTGTGAGCTCTGCAGCTCACGGGTCTGAAAACCCAGAAAGCAAAAATACGGTTTACGCAGGCAGACTATAATTTTTGATATACTAATTTGAATGGAGAGAAAAACGGAAAACAGATTTTTACATAGGAGACAGAATCGGTGAATAATAATTAAAATTTTGATTCTTCAACTAACCTCTTATTTGACTTATTTAATGAATGAGTTCGGATAATTATTTTAGTGCAGATGAAAATGAAATATAAACAAGAAATGCAGAAGAGACACTGATATAACTTTAGCATACATGTATATGGAAAACTTGTTGACCAGGAACGGATCCAAGCGTGTCCGGGAAGAACAGGTTAGATTGAAAGAAGTATAAATAATCAAATCATTTTAACTATCATAAATTAAATTCATACATGCTTGCCTCCCCCCCCCCCCGTAATGAAAGCAATGATTATATTTGTTTAATAGTAAAAGTCGCTAGTTTTACAAGATAAATAAGTTACTTATAGATTTAAATGAAATTAAAATAATTCTACATGCAAATTTAAAAAGAAGAAGAATACATGGCGGCAAAATAGCGAATCATACCAGACAAAAAGAATTCCAGAAGAAATTCCCGATACAAGATATTTTTTTTTCTCCTTCATCTGTACAAAAATTTGAGGTATTGTCGTAGTCGAAGCTGTTATTGTTGCCGATAATATGGAAAAAGAAAAATCAAACTTTCCACTGAGAAAGTTTTTTTGCAAAAAGCCAGCATAACTTATAAGTGGTTAAGAGAGACATAAATAACATTATTAGTCTATGTGAATCTGGGAATTTTAACCTCCAATGTATATGGTAAATTAACTTTTATCGAAAATTATCTTAATATAAAAATTACAAAGCATTCGTATAAAAAACAGTTCTAATCCGGGATGTTCGAGTTTATATACCAGTAAAAAGGCTTTGTTTGCCTTTGTTTGTTTGTTAGTTTGTTTTTTTTTTTTTTTTTTTTTTTGTGTGTTTGTTTGTTTGTTTGTTTTTGTTTTCGTTTTTTTTTCTTTGTTTTTTTGTTTGTTTGTTTGTTTGTTTGTTTTTTTTTTTTTTTTTTTTTGGTTTTGTTTTGTTTTCTTGTTTGTTTCTTTGTTTTAAATCCCAGGAGTACATTCTGTACTTTGATTCTATATCGCACCAGTCGGAATATCTCATTCTTTTTCCATACTGAAATGTGTTGTAATGAAAATACCCGAGAAGGTACGATTACTTAGCACACGTCAGAGACGGAATTCTGGGAAATTTATATGATGGTGGATTGCGAAAATGCGTTGAAACGGTCTGCGAACTTCTCTTGCTAGTGATGGCAAATGAATCGAATGTAAGAGGAGAATTTCCTTTTAAGTAAATTTTGTGTCAAAATCCATTAATTTACTTTGGATTATTCAGAGGTTTAATCACAATATGCCCATAATAAAAGCTAGAATTTTGTTTTTAATTTTTCTCACCGGTCAACCTTCCTCGTTCATGATCAAAAGTTCATTTAACAAAGTAAGAAGGGACAGGTAAAAGGGAAATTGGAGGAAGGTATAGAAAGGGAGGGAGAGCATGAGGAAGTAGGACGAAAGATGGACGGGGAAGGAAGCCCTGCCCACTCCTTAACTGAACATGTATTCTGTAAAGATTTTCATGAAAGTAAAAGTACATGATATTGGTTGTTTAAAGAGCTAAGGAAAAGTAATATCTGACATTAGTAATTTTAATTTTCTGTGTCATAATGGAGATGAAAATAGGATCTGACATTAGTAATGTTCATTTTCTGTGTCAATGGAGATGAAAATAAGGATTTGCAAGTGTACTTGAAGAACAGAACAGAATATTTATTGAAGAAGAATGAATTTTACATTTATTGCTATTTTCAGAACGATTTCACAGACATATTATCAGCTGCATTAGATGAATCGGGCATCACAGGAGATTTTGAAGATGAATTTGATGAAACAAGCTCGTTTTCTCACCACTCTGTGTATCCAGGACAATCTCAACCAATTGTATGTATAAACAATTACAATCTACAGGCCTTTTTAGTCTTATCAACAACATACTGAAAGGTTGATGTAAATATTCTTTTTCTCAGAAACTGGGAAAATTTATTGAAAGAAATCTGAATTTTAGCGAAATTGTTCCAAGTTACATTTACTATTCGGTCGCTAAATGCATGGTTTGACACTAACCGTAACCCGCTAGCATACATGCCAACTTTTGAAAATTTCCTTGGGGGAGATTGCGCGTTATGACATTTTCCAAAGTTCTAAATTTGCGGCATTTTGTCGTGAAAATAAGTATTTTTGTTTTTTTTAAATATCAGTCTAATACCTTCAGTGATTCATTTTGAAAATGGTTATCATGGGTCCAAAGGACCCCTCTTAATGACAACAATGAGTCCCGTGCCAAAATCAATGCGTCCAAATCCAAGGGTACCGTATATTAGATGTTACAGAGGAAATTCTGGTGAAATAAAAAAGGGTATTGCACGAAAGTGCAAATGTTTTACTGTAGTTGTGAGTGATTTATACTTTTAGTCTTTTACTATCAATTGTCCAAGTAAGAATACACGATTTTGTGTCATAAAAATAATATATTGTCCACTGTGCACTTTGGTTCTATTTTTAGATCGTACATACGATCTCACACATTGTATCAGTCATAAAATGCACAGAAGCAGAATGAAGTAAAAAAAATTAAGAAGTAATAATGACAAATAGTCAGAAATAAAAATTATTAAATTTTATACTTCTTAGCTTGTAAGGAAAAAACGAAAAGAAAAAACCAATGATACAGGTTACAGCTTAAATACAAAGGTATAGTATTCGCTTCAGAAACGTTCCACGGTATAGACATAATCAGTGATAATCGAACTATGCTATCTAACTTTCAAATATTTTCTGATAATTGCTTTTAACTGCAGTTGTGAAACCTGACCTGTTGTTGGCAACCTTATTCCTGTTAAAATCGTTCATGCATATCGCTTAGCACGTGGATATGATGCAATCGGTCAAGTTTTGAATCAGGTTATACTGAAATAATTTAAAATAGTACATGTCCTTCTATAAATTTATTGCGTCCATTGGGATGCACATTTATTGAAATAATGCGTCCTGAGCAAAATTTGTGCGTAATTTACGCAGGACGCACACCAAAATGAATCACTGTACCATGTATCATATATTATCACTACTTCATAGTGTTTTCTCTATCAACTTCAACAAAAACACAATATTATTTGAAATTTAAAAAAGAAAATTTTAATCAAAATTATTTAATATGATAATATAAAGATAAACATTACCCCCCTGCCATATGCAATGTCATACACATACAGATTATTACATGGATAAGGATGTTAAACTTAATTACAAATAATCTATTTTGCAAGTTACTAAAAGAGTTCATGCAGTTACTGTTTTTGTCTATTGGTAAATTACACATTTTATAAAGCTACTAAGTCACAGACAAATAATTTGTAATTTTTTTTAAATCAAAGGGAATACTAAAAAGAAGTCACTTTTAATGTTTTCATACAAAGTCTGTAAAAGGCATGGTACGTCTTCTCCTTTCTAACTTTTTGTGAACCACTCCTGGAATTCTGCTTAAAAAATCTAACGGTTTTTACTTGCAGACCATAGTGCCTATGTTGCATCTTTTCAAATTGGATTTTGGCAGTGTCTTTTCCATGATCAATGACGTAGTTCATAATTATAGTGAGAAATGCTGTATTTCCTAAACTTGAAAACCTTTTATTTACAGCTTATACATATATTGTCAAATTTTGCGTAAAGTGTGAACTCGTCACAAGTTTGTATCCTGTTGTGTGTATTTCTAAAATTTCCACATCTGGCATGATTGTCTAGGTTAATATACACTGTTAATGAGAATTGGGAGCAATAAATACCACAGTAATGACTGGTAGCACAGTTGACACCTTGTTGATTACCTGTTATCAGCGGCAATTAACAGATATCTACCGATAAACATTCAAACTGCCATCTTTTTTTCACACAGAAATGTGGTATTATTCAAAGCAGATCGGTAAAAAATCTGGAATTCCTAAAAATCGGTAGAAATGGGATTAAAAATTATATTGGTAGACAAGCGGTAGGTAGGGTTAAAAATTGGTAGACTCCCAAAAAAATCGGGAAAGTTGGCATGTATGCGCTAGCCCGGGACAATTGAAAATTGAGGTCGGACTACCAAACAAGTCATCATGCTTGTCCTGCGATGCTACTGGAAATTTAAATACCACACACTCGCATAAAGCAATTGTGTAGATTAATTTTAAAAAGTACAAATCAGTTTTTGTTAGCGAGGTGTAATAACGTTTGAATCATCGTCAGATAACTGTCAACTTTGTTACTGCCCAATGTTGTTTTGGTGCGACCTATCAAATATCTTTGAATTAAAGTGTGGTTTTCAAAATAAAATGTGGAATCTTTCAATATGGAAAAATGTCTTTACTTACATTTGTAAAGTAGCATAGTTTTGCCCCAAAATACAAGCCAGAATGCAGGATTTGGCATTTTATTTTCAAAAAGTTGTGGGTTAATTGACCCCCGTCTACCCCCACAAGCAGTACCCTATCATAAAAATGGACAATCACCAGTCCAAATTTACTCCTTCACAAAAATGATAGCTAATTTTTATTTCTAGTTGCAAAATAATTATTTTGGTCACAAATGTGACCGTTTTAGTCGCAATTTGGAGCACAGTGAAAGCAGACATTTTCTTCTGTCTTGAAGTTTTTCATCCAGTCTAACAAAGAGCTATCACAAAGTTCTGAGAATTTTCAGTATCGATCAGATGTATACTGATTATTATGTTGATATGTAGAAAGAATAGTCATGCATGACTTTTTTGCATTGAGAAAATTAAAAATTAAAGGACAGGTACTTGAATATTTGAATAATCCAAAAGTATACAGCAGCTGAGAAGTCATTCAAAATATAGATTTATATACTACTGAGAGCTTGTGAATTTCAGATATGTTCTGCTTTTTATTATTTTGACGTGGAAAGAAACATAGTGAAGTAATCTAATGAAAGAAGAAATAAATAACTTCCTGCTTACTAAAAGTTTCCAGGTGTTGATAAAAACTTGCCTTTAATTTTTACAATAGTGGCATATGATCTGATAGTTGAGAACCATACATTTCAAATATGGAAAAGTTTCTTTGTTGACATGCCAACTTGGGAACTCATTAAATTTTTTATTCTCTTTGAAATAGATATCCAATCATGTATTTAATGGAGGGATGCCACAGACAATTCCTATTCCACAACAAATTGGAGGCATCAACTCCACAGCATTCAATCACCCTATTCCACAACCAGGAACCCCTTTTCCAAGTAACCAGGTAGTAATTTAATAATCCCTATGTTTATTCTTATTCTCACATTAATTTGCAAGTGTGTTTGTGAATTCAAGTTTTTCACAAAGAGTCATAAAAATTTCGTGAAGACTGTCAGACATTTAAACTGAGTTCAAAATCTTGTTAGTTCAAACAAACATCTTTCATCCCAGATACTTTATTTGGATTATACCATGTTGGTCATATGGAATAATTTGCTCAAAGAATTTAATGAACCAGGTGACCTTTTATCCTCAGGCTGAGAGGACCAGTAGTGTCGGACTCTGTACTCACAGACCCTCAAATAAAAGTGGGGCTACAACTTTAAAAACAAAAAGCAGGGCTACAATTTGTATTAAAGCTTGATATCAAGTATCAGCAAACTATAGATTGTTGGAAGCTTTAAGTTTATTGCCATTTTAGAGGTTTTTGTTATTATATTTCATTGTTTGGTAGAGAAATGTGACAAAAGTGAGTAATATGACCCATGAGCTTCTCATTTTTCAAGATTTTTCTGTTTATTAAAGCAAGACAGAAAGTCTGCCTGCTATGCATAGAATTTACAGCTGTTTATGAGAGTCCCAGTAATTTGAGCCATATGTTTTAACCTTATGACAATTTTTTTTTCAGCTCATAACCCAAGTTTCCAAAGTTCAGAATAATCCATCTTCCTTACTGCATCGATCAGCATCCAGCCCAGCCATTATACGCATCCCAGCATCATCCCTCCAAAAACAGGGAGAATCTCCTCTCCAAAGCCAGATCAAATTACAGACATCTCAAAACCAAAATAACTCCACTGGAGGTCCTAGAATCATCAAGATCACAAGACTTGGTGGACAAGGATCCAGCACAATTAAAGTACCTGTGACAGGAAATATTCCTCTAAGTGGGATTGTTAACAAAGCAACTGGAGGAGCAGTGAAGATTGGAAACTATGTTACTAAAAGCTCTTCAGTGCCAACAATTAATTTAAATGATCTTTCTGGAAGGACCAATGGCTCAGGTGTACCTGTGAGTGATGCACCAAAATCTGGACCAGAATCCATTAATTGGGCTAGTCTGGTCAAGAAAGATCCAAACACAGGTGCTTGCACAATTAACTTGGCAAATCTTGCAGCAGCAAGTGGTAAGAAAATCATAATTACTACAACAACAGGCAATCAAATGACAGGGAGTGTAATCAGCCAGTCAGCTGGCACAGGTGAACAGATTCTTTCTTCAGGTTTGGGAACAAACTCGCCGATTCCTACAAACTTAGGGAGTGTGAGAATGACACAATCACCTTCTGTGTTGCCAAGAAGTGATATTCTGTCTGCTCAAACTATGAGACCAAGAGGTGGGGAACTGCCAGCTCCTCATTCTCCAGGTATGGGCAGTGTTCAGCTCAGTTCCTTCACCCCCAGTGCCATCAATACAATTCATTCCCAAAGTGTGTCCCTCTTACAAAGAAATCCACCCTTGCACCATAGTATGTCTACTCCAGCTCTCCCCGATTTAGGGCAGCATCGCTCACTCAATGGACCTAATGGAAGTATTCCTCCAAATTACAAAGCAAATGTGACTCACAAAGACATTTCAAGGTTGTGGTCTAATGAAGATGTTAAACTGAAGAAAGTGGGTCCTTCTGTTCAACAGGTATGTTTTTTTGAGAGGTGTAACCCTTAGGCATATGTTTTTAAATTTTTCCATCAATGAGGGTGTTTTTTGCTGATTTCATACATATTTCCACCTCCTACATATTTTCTTATGACCCCGTAATCGAAGATTCGGGGGCATATACTTTTTGGTCTGTCCATCCGTCTTTCTGTTGTCTATTAATCTGTTTGTGCACAAAAACTTTAGCCTTGCCCATAACTTTTGAATGGTTGGTGCTAGGGCTTTCGTATTTCACTTGTATATTCCTTGTGAGAAGACCTTTTTTTGGGTACCAACATATTTGACCTCTTGACCTTGGAGTTTGACCTACTTTTACAAAAATTTACCAAACTTTAACCTTGGCCATAACTTTTGAACGGTTGGGATATTTCTTGTGTATTCCTTGTGTCCAGACTTTTCGTTTGGTACTGACATTTTTTACCTAGACCTGGAAGTTTGATCTACATTTGAAAAAAATTTAACCTTGCCTATACCTTTAGAACAGTTGCTTCTAAGCCTTCATATTTCACTTACACATTCCTTGTGACAAACTACCTTTCCTTTGGTACCATTATATTTTGACCTAATGACATTGAACTTGGAATATGACCTACTTTTTGAAAAATATTTTAACCTTGGTCATATTTTCTGAATCTTAGGTACTAGGACTATTATATTTCACATGTTTATTTCTTGTGACAAGACCTTTCTTTGGGTATCAACATTTTTGAACACTTGACCTTGGAGTTTGACCTAAATTTGAAAAACTTTAACCTTGGCTTTGAGCTGTCATGTGGAGGCATCAGTGTTTCACAAACACATTTTGATTTCAAAGAATTGCTGACCTTGTACTGGAGATGTGATATGTAATTGTTGTATGGTTTTAGCAAACTGCACGGCAAATGTTGGGAGGGGGCGTGGCATCATTGGAAGAAGAGGAGGTGGAAGATGAGGTTCAAGAACTAGGACATGCAGAAACTTACAATGAATATATGCCTGT